CACGTTAAAATATAGCTAAATGAATCATTTCTATCTTATCCTGGGAATAAGCACAAACTTGTGATGTTTTCATGGCATGTTCTTGAGGGAAAAATGGCAGGATGGCACTGCGGAGGAAGTGTTTTGGATATTAACACAGGATGTACAGTGCTGTGTTGACAGGCGAAGAGAAACTCAGTCTGTTCACGTTTTCATTGTACATGTAAAATATGTTAAGACACCTGTGTGATTCAGAGCTGCATGTACTAAGTGGATAAGAGACTCTGTGAGGAAAGGAAATTGGCATCACACTACCAGTGGAAAAACCTGAGCTTACCTAAACTTCTTGCAATGATGCATTCCTTTTCATAATGATGCATTCCAGAAACAATGTGGACAACATCAATTCATCAAATCAATTTGATGTAATGATTATAGGATTGGGTTCAGTACCACTGCCAGCTACTATATCATTAATTCACTAAACCTATATCTATCTATCTATCATCTATCTATCTATCNCATTGATGATATTGCCTAGTTTGGGTAATGAAACTTCTGCAAGAACAAAAGCCAGCTCAGAGAGCACCAAGGACCTCTCATATCTTTATAACTTAGCCTGTTAAATTACTTACACTATTTTTAATGAACCATTGTATAACCTGATATCCCTTTCATTATAAATATGTTAGTTCTCATATTCCAACCAGTCTTGATGAATTGTTTTAAGAATTGGTTCAGTATATTTGAGTAAAATTAGATTGAGAAAGGCAGCTTTAATATTCTCACTATGATTTCATTTGTTGTTATTTTTATTCTTCTTTGCTTATTTCCTAATTATATTAAATTACTTTTCCCACATTTTATTGTGTATTCTAAAGTTTGTTTGAACATTTTTTCATGAACATTTAATTCACAGGTTGGAATATATCTTCTTGAACTTGGCATAAGTAAGTTAGAATTCCTTAGCGATGGTGGGGGAAGAATAAGGAAGTCCAATCAACTCCTTCAGAAACTGATGGAAATATTTTATCACTTTGCAATTCCAGGTAATCATATTTTTCAGGCCAGATCCTTAAAAATGTGTTTATGAATGACATTATCACTTAATTATGAATTCTGGTAGAATCTGTGCCATTGTTTGTTTGCCAGTTTTTTCTATATTAAGTTTTGGCCATTTACTTAAAATTCTTTTAGGAATTGCAGCTTTTGGTCAATTCTTCAATATAAATTTGGCACCTAAGAAATTAAAGAGAATGAACTAGATATATTTGGAGTAGTGACAATATTATTACAGACAATTTGGAATATTATCATTAGTTTGGGTGTTTTGTGGAAGTGTGTGTAATCTTATAAATATATAGATTTATATTAGATTCTTACCTAATTGTTCCGTGACCCGTCAAAAGCGCGGAGGACAAAAGCGCGCTCGACGAAAGCGCGCATGTGATGTCATCACAGCGCGATGAAAAAAATTAAAAATTGAAATAAAATTAAAATTAAAGCAAGC